CTCTTCGGGAGACGTTCACAAAACAGCACGTCCGGCTTCAGCGATTCTGGTCGCTTCGGTCAGAAACACCTGGCCGTCGTAGGGCTAACCAATCGCAATGCTCCTCGTCATACCGTTGCCCCTCCCTCCCCTCCCCTTTTCCCCCGTGCCCTGCAACACTCCCTGAGCGCGGGTATTTGCACCCAGGCCGTCATTTGGTCATGAGCTGCTCGTCAGTACTTCGCAGCTCAATATACCGTCATCCATCTCATCTAAATCATTACCATGGCTGAAATTCTCGCCGTCTAGAGAGAGGGATTCGGGGAGGAACGGGATACTATCATTTCAATGACGGGTAAGTGACGAGTTCGTCACATTTTCGGTCACTCAAGTTCGCTCAATTAGTTACACATTCACCGTGAAAAATTTTAACGTTTTACGGAAATATTTCTACGAAGTGGAATTTTTAACTTTTGATACTGAATCGCAAAATAACAAGGTAGCGCAAGCGTCTTTGAGCTCCTTACGGGTAGGCAGCCCAATGTACGTCAATGTGTCATTTTCCAGGTATTATTACCATTTGAATCGTGCACGAAATGCAACAGACGGCACGAGGCGGCTGTGCCTCCGTTGCATTTATTACGGAACCCTACACCGATGCTCCGGGTCAGCGATTGCCGTGGACACGGGTAGGGAAACGATCCGCGTGAGCGAGCTGCCTCACACCTGCCAGCGAGACCGTTTCTTGCCAATGGAACGGCAGATCCGTCATGATGTGCTGGACGAGATCCGGAACAACAGAGACATTTTTCAACGGCCCGTGTTCATAATGACGAGGGTGCGCGCGAGGTGAGTCCAACGCCCAACGGTAGAGGTGAAAAAAGGTATCCGGCCGGACCCTGATCCCATAAGGACCACCGGACCTGGGTCAGGATTGTGGGAGATTTTTTTTCAACCCAGCGAGATTTTTCTTTTTTGTCTTTTTTCTTTGCCTGTGTTATCAATTTGAGAATTTGGACTTTTTTGAATATCGGTGGAATAAATAGTCCACATTCTCAAAACTTACCCTTGACATATTTCTATATTTAACTAATTTGACCGCATATGTCACTAGTATTGTCGGGAAAATTTAAAACAAGGCATGTTCTTCAACTGTTGGGTACAGACGACGTAATAGTGTTTCTATTTGAATTGATCTTAGTTAAGGTTGAATGGAATTGATTTGGTCTTCTCGAGAATTACATTCCAAAATTTTGATTAAAA